AATCAGGGAAAGGGTTTAAGATGACTTGTAGAAAATAGAATGCAAGTGAGAGGAGGAAAAAGTGAGGATGCGTCTGCGAGACATCCTCATAGCTACTGTAGAGGTGTTAGCTCTTCTTCCTTCATGATACCCTGAAGGTTGTGAGGGAGACACTATTAGTTGTCTCCCTTCTTAATCTAAACATTCCAGTTTTGTTTGGGATAAACGATCCAGTGAAAGGTTCTTGCCTTGCAGGCTTCTCTTGCAGCAGTTCTGTGCAATGAAGTATAAGTGGATCTCAGCTGGGATTTGGGGGTCAAGCATATATATTGATTACCAGTACAATGCCTTTCTCCTCCTTCTCTTCTCTTGCCTTATATGTTAACATGGTGGCTGAAACTGAAGCCACCATCTATGAAAGTGAGAGAATGGTACAAAACGTTATAGAACAGAGCCATTGGCATTGTTGATTTCTCAAAACAAGGCCTGCTACCACTTACCATCAGTCTTGTTTTGTGAGAAATGGGTATTCAGATTTAAGCAATGGATTGCCTGTCTTACAGCTGATTTCACTGTTCGTATACCTCTGATAGCTATTATCACTACACAGATGAGGACATCATGTCGCAATGAGTTTTAAATAACTTGACCAAGATCATATGGATAGAAAATAGTGATAAGATTGATTGCGTGGGATAACCTGGAGAAATAGATGTTAGAGCTTTCTTTGAAGGAGGAAAGTACTCAGCATTTCTTGAGATTGTGTGAGATACTAAGAGTGAGATTACAAGAAAATAGGGTGTGTGTGTGGGGGGGTGCAGAATATTTTAGGTAAAGTTAAGCCATCCTGTGATCTTCCTGCCTCATCCTCCTGAGTAGCTGAGACCATAGGATCATGCCACCGTGCCTGACATTTTAGGGCAGACTGAGAATCAAATCTGTGCCTCCCATGTGGCCTCAGCCTTTTGAGCAGCAGAGTCCAACACACATTACCACAACCATTCTGGAAAGGTAAGATTTTAAAGTTTTGTCTTCTATTGTAAATATACTTTAGACATTTCTTATGGAGAAACTATGGCAAAACTTGAGATAACTTTTATTCACTGGGCTGCTTAACAGTGGTTTATATTTTAATGTTGCAAACATGAAAAGCACTTAAAGTGTGCTTATCACATTCAATAAATATTAAAATATAACAATGATGAAAATACTGTGTATGCTTCAAGTAAAAAGCACATCAATTAATTGGAAATTATTTTTGTCTCAGATTTTCTTTATTTTTGGAAACACAAGATAGGTGTGATTATGCTATATTTAAAAATACATATTGTCTCTGGTAGAATCCAAAGCATTACTGATTCAGCAAATATATTCTGAGTGCCTACATGGGCAAAATTTTGTAGATTAAAAACTTGATTAATGAGGCAGGATTACTTTTCTGAAGAAGCTTAGAACCCAGTAGAAGGTAGTATATGTTATATTCCGTTATGCTAACTTCATGGGTTTTATTGGGTCCGAAAAGTTGTGATGCGTTTTTCTATATGATTGATACCTATATGACAAAATGCACTATGACTTTTCTGTTGACCCAATACCTTTATATAATATTAGATTCTGTTTACCTTAATATTATGATTTAAATGTATACTCAATGTATTATGAAGATACAGAAAAATGAGTAATTGTGTTTTGAAGGAAAAATTCTTAAAACAGAAGGCATGGAATGGAAAGGCAGCCTGGACGGAGCAAACAAGGGATGGGGAAGAATACTCGACAGGTGTAGTTGTTTGCTGATACAGAACTTCAGAATGCTTAGAAAGATGCATTAAATTATGATCTAGAAAAGCAAAGACATAAGGTCTTTTGTATAAAATTTGGTTTCTATTGGCAGTTGAGGAAAATAACCACATGAATCTTTTAGGGCTCCAACAAACAAACCTCTCACAGCAATGAGAGGAATGAGTTGGCAATTGAGAGAGGAGCTGTGAGAATGGCCCACTCCATGCTTGTGTCAGCAGATGGTTTTCTGGAAGCTGTTTGATGCTTATAGAGGGAGCTATTGTAAAGTCCATTTTTCTGATAGGAAAATTGGCATAGAGTAATCGTACAACTTGACTAAAATCACACAGATAACAGGTAGAAATAGGAGGAGATAAAGTAGTGAGTATTCTTGAGATGTATCTGACTAGGGCAACAAGAGTAGAAATCATCTAAAAAAGCTGACGAGAAGGCCAGGTGGTGTTATGGTGGTAACATAACTGGATTCACATGGGAAAAGTCCTTGGTTTGCATCCCAGGACCTCCTGATCATGCTTGGTATGTGGGCATGTATTCTCATGATCCAGGATGGCTATGACTGGGAGATGAA